AAATAACTCACTGCTGAGACTTACTGACACCTTTTTTAAAAATTTTGTTTCAAGTGTAATTGATCCATTTAGACTATATGTACACATAAAATTGAGTCAAACCCGTGCTGTGGGATGAGCCTTCTGTATACTGAGTATGTATTACTCCCACTGGTTAGTAATAAAGCCACCTGGCCTATGGCAAGGCAGGAGAAGGTTGAAGGACTCCAAACAAGAAGGCAGAATCGAGGGAGACCACGTGAGCCAGCCACTCAAGAAGCAAGATGCTAGAGGCCAGTAAAGCCACGGCCACGTGGTAATACATAGATGAGAGATGAGATCACTTAAATATAAGAGCTAGTTCATAATAAGCCTGAGCTAACAGTGAACATTTTGTAATGAATTTAAGCTTTTGTGTGTTTATTTGGAACTGGGCGGTCAGGACAGAAAACTCCGCCTCCAGTTACATATGGCACTCCAACGTGGCACATGAAAACTCACATTCATACAGCTTGAGAGCCTGAGAAAGCTTTTAAAAAAAAGAGTTCTAGACACACAAAAATGGAGTCAAGAGCAGCTTTACAGTTCACATCTCTCATGGGGGTCAATGTACAAAGACTCGTCCCCTGGCTGCCACATGTGTGCCTGAGCTGCAGCATAGCAGATTCCCACAGTTTCAGGGGCCCTGGTACGAGCAAGCATGCACTGCGTGACAGATTTAGGGTTTTTGGCTCATACAGACAAAAAAGGTTAGAGATACACAGTAAGGGCAGATTCAGGCAAAAAGGCCTCTAAACAAATCTCAACATGTTTAAACAATATGCATAGACTTGGGAGAGAGAAGAGAAAGTGTAACAGTCATTAAAAAAATGATTTTAAAATAATAATAAAGTTCTTAAAAAGGAAATAGAATAATAAAAAATATGATAAGCCATGTAAAAATGGGAAATAAATGGAGTCTGGATTCTATACTTAATTGTGTTGTCTTTAGATTTTTTTTTTCACTGTTAATGGAAGAATGATAACTACTGAGAGACATTTGATTGTAAAAGCTACTAAATTAAACCAACCTATATGTTTTAAACATTATTTTGACTCCAAAATTTAAGTCAAAAGACATGTCACTTTGGGGGAGAGGTTGTGTTTTTGTTTCCATAAGAAAAGAGAGGCAGGCTGTGGATTCATTCTGGGTTAAGAAAAATCAAGTGTCAGCAAGGAAGACCCCCTTAAAAAAATCTCCGAAGGGAATTGATGGCCCAGGTGATCCAACATCCAGAATAGCTTCCAGGCTTCTGACTAAGATAATCCAGCCTCACAAAACACTGGCAAGATTTAACAATTATCATGATTTTCTCAGGGTACTTTAAAGATTATCTGTGGTGATATATTGTGTCCCTCAAAATATTGTGAACCCTAACAAAGCTTATCCAAGGATCAGAGGAAAAAGCCAGCAACTATATTAAACACAGAAGTCAGGCAATGGTAGTATATGCTTTTTATCTTAGCATTCGAGAGGCAGAGATCCACTTGGATCTCTGTGAGTTCAAGGTCACATGGGGAACAGAGCCAGGCATGGTGGCACATGCCTTTAATCCCAGTACTAACCATAGAGGTCTGGAGGTCTGTACAGACAGACAGGAAGTGATTTAGCTGGGTGGAGAGAGGAAGTGAGTTGGCAGAACAGAAAGGCATATAGGCGTGGGCATACAGAAAGTATATCTTTTTGGAAGCTGAGGACTTGGTAAGATGAGGTTGGCTGCGGCTTCTCCTATTCCTCTGATCTCTTAGTTTTCACCTCAATATCTGGCTCTGGGTTTTTTATTAATAAAGACCATTTAGCAATTCATCCTACAATTACCAGCACCCACCAATCAATAGGAAGTAGTCTAGAAAACTATGTCCACATTCCCAAAAATATTGGTTATAAATGTTTGTTTTCATTTAAGGGGGTTTGGTTACAAATTGTTATTGGTCATAGTCAATCTCTTTCTAACAGAAGAAAAGGAGATATGATATAAAAATGATGGGGAGAAGGGTAGATTATTATGATGGGGAGAAGGGTTGATTATTGAATCTACTTTAATCCAAAAAACAACTGTTAATCTCAAAATATTTTAAATTGGCATGTATTTTAGTTTATTTATACAAATTTAAAGTTATTTCTCTTATGCTGTATTATGTTTCTACTCTTGTTTAGGATACTGTGCTTATACAGCTCATTTGAAAATATAATGTATAATTAAAAATACAAATTAATAATCATCTATAATAGACTTATAGTAGTGTTAAATGTTTTCAAGGTCATACAGAGATATATTTTAAGAAGGTAAATGGTCCTCAAACACTTCAAAGACTTATAGAATATGGCATTTAATATGTTTAAAAACTTAAACTTTTATCAACAGTGAGACATGTCTGCTCCTGACAGCACCAATTATTTAAAAGAGGATGATGGGCATTGAAGAAACTCCATTTGGAGTTTGTTTTCTTTATCACAAAAGCTAGCCATGTAGACAAAGAAATTGCCCTTGCCTCATTTGTTCAGTTACTGGCCAAACTGGACCAGCAGGACACAAAGAAAAGTGACTGCCAAACTTTGCCAAGACAGGGTAGGTCAGTCCTTCAAAATTCCATGCTATAGTCTGTCAGATACCATATGACTATAGGCCAAAGACTGATGCCCCGACATTACAGAGGAACTTTGGGTGACTGTCCAGACAGCCTGATATCCCTGTCATTAGGTAACATTTCACACTTCTGGGATCTTTGATGGAGGTGAAGAATAGATAGTCATAATTTTTCTTAGTTATAATAAAAGGTAAATTAGATATGAAACTTTAGACTCACCAAGATAAGATGGATAATTGAATGAACTTTAGACTCTCCAAGATAAGATGAATAATTGAATGTTTTCTCTGATTTTGTCATACAAATCGACTGGATATTGTAACTGTAATTCTTGCTCAATAACTGTTTTGTTGTATGTAGTTTTACTATGTTAAAGTTAAAAACTTTTTGATTAGACAAAATGGGGGAGATGCTGTGTGATGACCCTTCTGTACACTGTGAATATGTATTACTCCCACTGGTTAGTAATAAAGCTGTTTGACCTATGGCAAGGCAGGATAAGGTTAGGCAGAACAATCAAACTGAGGACACAGATAAAGAGGGCAGAATCAAGGGAGAAGACACGAGCCTACCACTGAAGAAGCAAGATGCCAGTGGAACGTTAAAGTCACAGCCACGTGGCAATACATAGATGTATAGAAATGGGTTAATTTAAATGTAAGAGCTAGTTAACATAAGCCTGAGCTAACACCGAGCATTTTGTAATTAATATAAGCTTTTGTGTTTAACTGGGACCAGGCAGTCAGGACAGAAAACTCCACTTCTGGTTACGAACCCACAAGGAAGAAAATTTAAGATGACAGATTAGAGTCAACAAGCATTTGCTTGCCTCTCTCTGAAGGTGAATCAAAACACTAAAAACACTGAAGTACAAGAGGACAAGAAGAGACGTGTAAATTAGACTAAAGAACGAAGAAAGTGTACCTTGGTACCAAGTATGGCAAAGACAGACACGGCAGGATCAACACAGTTCTGAGATCTGCAAGGCACGTGGATGCAGAAGAGTTCTCTGCATTTCCTAGTATATATCTGTCATGCCACTGAAGGGAGACATATATTGACAAGGTAGCATGTGAGCTTGCTACTCGATGAAATAAGTCTCTGCATTTTCCTGTTTCCTAGAAGCTTAGAGGAAACATTGCAGTACTGCTTCAATGGATGTCTATCTTGAGATATTCTAGTCCCACTGGAGCGTCCCTGAAACAATCCATGGACTCCATCCATGTGGTGGGAAATAGATCATAACAAGGTAAACCTTATTTTCTTTGCGACTATGAGTTGAGTGACAAGTTTAAGGACTTTGAGATAATGAGCAGTCATCCAAGATTATGCAGGAGAGCTAGGACATGAATGTGATTTACAGGATTGTCAGAATCACAGGTAGTGTACTGCATGAGACCTATACTCATCACCCCCAACGGGTGCTCTGTCCTCCAAGTGGATTCAAACGGCTCTGGAAACCCAAATGTACTGCAATGTCTAGCATCAACCGAGTACCAGAAGGGCACTGAGCAAAGTTCTCCACTGTGAATTTCTGCTCAGTGCGTTTTTTTGCACCTGGCACTCCCACCTACTGGCTAGTAGGGCAACTGAGGGCAAAACGGGTGGCTTCAGAATGAAACCACTACATT